TATGTATCCTTTATTCATGTGTAACACAAATGTGGAGAATTTACGCATAAAAATCTTAACAAACCATTAACTTAATAAGACTTATTAACTTAATACACATAATGAAAGGCATAAATCCCATTCCGCTCTTGTTGGTGTAGTTTACTAGGTTTTCTCTGAATTTTGGTAACAGTAAATCAACAGTTGTACATCAGCGGATAATGTCAAATGTGCTAAGAATTAAAAAATATCATTCCATTATGCTAATACAGCTAATGAATGAATTTTGAGTTTTACTCTTTTACTACAACAAAATTTTAATACAAAACAAATAACATTTTTTTTTTGTATTCAGCAGGTAATTCTTTCTAAATTATGAGAGGAATTATTGTGAAACTTGGTAAAAAATTCATCCATAAATTATAAAAAGATTATAAATTATAGACAGATTCTTAGCGATATTTACGGTTATTTTATTAAATAATTAATTTATTAATCCTCAAAATCCATGATACAGTAGGATTATAACTGAAGAGGATTGAGTTTCGAAAATAAGCTGGTTTCTAAAAATTTAGAAGTTTACTTTCCAAAACTAATTGCTCTCAAGAATAAGCAAGTCTTAGTAAAAAATAAGCAATATAATTAAAATGTAATGTTGCTTAAGAAGATAATATAAAAATTTGCGGAACCTCTGTTAGTTAACGTAATAGAATGCATGGCTGAAATCCAGCTTTGAAAGCACATGCAATTTCTGCGTAGTGAAATTTCGAGATATTCTTGCTTTAGATATAAACATATCTGAAAAGTAATAAGGGTAAACCATTTGCTAATATAAAGTTGGCCATAATCAATTGTATGTAGCAAGATGGTTGAGTGCGAGATCTTTCTGTAATTCATAGACTGTGAAAAGCATTTCTAAGAACATCGCTTAGTTTCCGGAAAGTACAACTGAGGAAGATAGAGAGTTTCAAACGCAGCAGATAAAACTTATTTACAGTTACTGCAAGGAGGTACAGAATCGCATCATCTACCTGACAAGATACTCAACTCGTATCTTGTCAGGTAGCTGCCACTGTAAGGCTGGCAATCAGATAAACTGTACTCAGAGGGCTTTATGAAGGAGGGTGAAATTCAAGACAACCAGCATATGTGTATCCCTAACACCACGTCATAGAAATGAAAGGTTTATTTGGCCACACTTCCATATCAACTGGAGTGCAAGTCGACGGAAGCCTATGTTTTTAATGATGATGATGTTTATGTTATTGATGCCTTCAAATGTTATTTGCAAAATGGCTGTAGATTATTGATCTAAAGAGAACTGAAAACCTGATATAATCCATGATATGTCAGTCCTGATACGTCCATATCCATGAAAGAGACAGATTTTTTGGGCTCTGTGCATGTACGTGGGGAAGTATTTCTTTTATATGTCTGCACTGACCTGTTCATCAGTAGAAGATGCAGCATTATTTGCTCAGTTATATACAAATGCTATTTTTCATCGAATTGTTCGTCCTTACTCAAGTGCAGTTGATGATTCTTTTCATCTTATAAGATGATAATGCTAGACAACACAGAGCTCTTAATTGTTGGAGAACTACCTGTGTGGGGAGACTTGGCCAGCACATTCTCCGGACTAGAATCAAATTAAGAACGTTTGGGATGCTTTATAGTAACATCAATAAAGCATCTATATATTATTTTAGATGCTTTATACTATATATTATTTTCATATCCATCCATTAACCCTCTCCCTTGCGGTTCTTCAGGATTTTCGATTTTTCTGGATTTGATACAGCTATGGGGTTTTTGCTGCCAATTTTAAACATGGAACATACCATCATGTATAACTTTTACTTATGTATAACTTTGCCATCATGTATAACTGTTAGAGTCCATCATTCGCCATAATGAATAATCTTACTTTGAACTTGGATAATATGCTTTTTAGTATTTTTTTTTTCTATGCATTTAGAGCCTTTTAGGCAAATAAGTAGGGCTCCGGTTCTAATGCTGGAGATGACATGCATGTTTATTAGTGGTTCGGAATCCACTTTTTAAACTGTAGGTCTTAATCTGTTTAAACTCAATGCGCACAAAATGACAGCAGAGCGGCAAACCTAATTGTTATATGTACTCAGACAAAAAACAAGTTTATTATTTTTCATTTGTACCTAATTTGTAACTCGTTTGAATCCTACTTTTTTGCTAAATTTCTTTGAATTCGATTGAATCTAAATTCAGTTAACACAATTATCATAATTTTTATTTTTATTTTTTTGAAAATCAGTGCAAATATCATATGACCGTCGCCGTGAATTTACTTTAGATTTTAATAATATGAATATTTAAACAAATTGTGTTCAGAAACATAATTCAGAATTTTATTTATTAATTCAATGGCTAAGATACATTTACTTATTGCCTGTTAGTTGTTTCATTCTAGATGATTTGGAAATCTTAAATAATTTTTAATTCTTATGATTAAAAAGCAGACCCACTCTAATTACATTTTAGATAATTTTCTTCAATGAATTGCATCTTTACATATTTACTTTCTGGGCTTAATTGCTTATTATTATTATTTTTTTTTTTTATTTTTTTTCAAGTGGTAAAATCTAAACTTTAAAAATAAATCTACATGATAAACAATATTTAAAAGTAATCAAGCATTTTACCCTTTGTAAAAAGTAAAGTAAATTAAACAAATTTTGAAAAGGCTATCCATGTATTGGAAGTGGCGATTATCAATTAAGAAAGCGTATATATACATAAATACACATTTTATATACCAATAAATATTATTTTGAAGATTTTTTACTTCATATCGTAATTTAAAATTTTAAAAATTATCAAAATTATTTTATTTGTCAAAATCTATTTTTTTTCCTTATTTACAGTAAAATGTTTGTTTAAAAAATAATTTTAATAATCATTCAATGATTTTTATGCATTACCACTGATAATAACAAGATGTACATCAAAATATTGAGCTTATTTTGTTTAGAATTATATAATAGATATTTATCTTTTTTAGTCAAAAAGAAACCGATAACCTGTCCAAATCAATCAAAATGAACAATAAAAAAAAGTAGCAAACTTGAAAAATTTCCAAAGAAAAAAATATGTTGTTAGATAGAGATTTTTGACAAGCTTTTTACTGATTATTCTCTCTACCTTATCCAATCCATCATTTTTGAAATTTGAGAAGTCTCTTAATAAATGTTTGCAAGAGTTTAATCTATGTGTCAGTCTATGTCGCTTAATTAAAAGTAGATGCATTTCAGTGTTGACGCTTCTGCAAGTATCAGTAATTTAGATATATCAAAAAAGAAATTATGAAATGAAAGAAGGTGTCAAATTACTGGCTAACTTAGAAAATCCCTCATTCATGCCCATTGGTAAAATGTACAGCTATCAAGCAAGAAGCTTCAAATTTGAATCTGCATGTGTTGCAATCGTTGCTGCTTTTCTAACTTCACTTTACAAATACTTTCCCATATGCATCAGTAGCTTAGATATCTCAATAAAGAAGTTATGAAATGAAAGAAGGTGTAAAATTGCTGGCCGACTTAAAAATGCCTGATTCATGCGCCATTGGTAAATGTACAGCTACAAGATAAGAGATTTCAAATTTGAATCCGCAAGTGTTGAAATCGCTTCCTTTTTCTAACTTCATTACACATACTTTCACATATGCATCAGTAGTTTAGATATCTCAATAAAGTAGTTATGAAATGAAAGTAGGTGTAAAATTACTGGTCAATTAAGAAAATACCTGATTTTGTGCTTCATTCCTTTCCCTGTCACAGCTGCAAAGCAAGGAAATCCAAATTTGAATCCGTATGTGTTACAATCGTTGCTTTTTCTAACTTCACTTACACATACTGTCCCAAATGCTATCGAGATGTTTTGATGGAGATTAGACAGTATGCGTATTTCCCATCGATGTCAGGATAACTGTAGTTTTTCTGGTTTTCTCCCATGAAACACTTAAATATCAGACAGTAAACCCTGAAAAATCTCCTGGATGTCTCCTATTAACGATTTATAACACGAAGTACGTTTAAAAACCCAATTAATGACAAAAAAAATAACAATTGTATACAATATGTGGTTAAAAATATAGAAGGAATAAAAATTTTCTACTATTTTTTTTAGAAAGTTTTCTGTAAATAAACCATATTATTATGTTCTTGTTTTCAAACGACAAACTTGACCTGAATACAGAAGAATCAGAATTACCCATGGAGTATCACGGGGCATGGTACGATGTATTGCTGTTGTACCCTTAAAATTATGAACATATAACGTTAGGGGTGGTATCTGGAGTGTTCACACCCTATTTCCTTTCTCCCAAGATTAGGGGTTTCTAACCTAGATACATGTGGTGCTTCTTTCATGAACTTTTCGTTCAGCTTTTTAATGGATTTCGAACAGTTCGAAAACCAAATTACTATCCATTAGGGCTCATCTTGTTATTATTATAATATCATAATGATGTCTTTTGATATTTAGCAGAGGTATTATATCATAAATCCTTTTTCGAGAAAAAGCATTGTAATCGTTTAATGACTTGATTTTTATAATTATTTACTCCGAGGTTTTAATTTTATACCTTAATAATTTTTAAACACTATTGTTCTAAATGAGGTTATTTCACAAGCAGTCCATGGCCCTATGAAGACCATTGTTGTTTAACCATAATAAATTCTTTAGTTGTAAATTTCTTATGTTGTTGTTGTTTCTTATCCCACTTGGCTGGCCAAGCCAATACGTACTCATGATTGAAGCGGAAGGAAGCAGCTTCTGTTGTGATGGAGCACCCGTAGGTAGAAGTCTGACTTTGGCTCCGTGACGCTCTTACAGTCATAGGAGACCGGGACCTACGGCTTAAAGTGGATTCCGAACCACTACAAACATCCATGGCACCGCCGGGATTCGAACCCCGAAACCTGTGGCACCGAGCGCCAGAGCGCTAGGCACTCGGCCATTCAGGTCCCAAATGTGTGAATGCCAACGGCACGCGGTGCTCCCAGGTGGTCACACCCACCCAAGTACTGACCGCGCCCAATGATGCTTGACTTCGGTGATCTAACGACCGTCTATGGCCGTTGGTTTCTTATGTTGTAAATTCCTTAATATTTTTTATTAAGGAATTTAAAATCTATAAAAAAATAAATTAATGAATTGTTTTATTTTATTTAATATGTAGTATAAAAAAGAGTGGATTTAATTTTTTATCTTAAAGAGATGAATTTGAGTAATTGATTTTTATCTAAAATTTAAGAATTTCAGTAATTAATTTTTATCTAAAAGATATGACTTTAAATAATTAATGTCTAAAAGCGATGAATTTAAGTTACAGATGGTACCATATTTTTTATTTAGTTTTACTGCATCTATGATAATATGTGTTCTGATGAGATATCGCGTACAAAACAAATGTTGAAGACATTTTAAAACATTAGAAATTGTAGTTGATAATTGGTTTATTTGAATTTATTCAATTGCTTTAGTATTTAAATTTTCGCATTTTAAAAATTAAATAACTTGTAGAAAAATAAACGTATCAAATTACTTTTAGAATTGCTCATATATTTGAAAGGGTATCTAGATATAGTATTAGTATCTAGTATCTAGATTACGGATCAAAAGTATGTAGTATCAAGATTACGGATCATTAGTTGTTATGAGATGAGTATAGGTTACTGAATTACTTTTGTCGTCTGTCAAGCATTTCACCCTATCTAGAGGCTCCGTTCTTTTAATCTTTTCCTGGAACTTATAAATATATATAAAAATGTCTGATGACTCTATGTTGATGAAATTAGAGTGACAGCCAAGGTCACCGAATTTCAATTTATCACTGCGTTCCTTCTGTGTGTCAGTAACGTTTGCCCGTCTCTAATCTTATGACGGGTCAAAATGGTCGATAGCTGTCACCTTTCATATTTTATAAAGGTGGGTCTTGACTTTTTTGTCTGGACTGGTATTTATCTTAAATTGAGATGATTATTCCCCTGCACACAATACAAAGAAATTTCCGTTCTAAGCAACAGGAACCTTAATGGAAGCAAATAGATATTTTACTTTTGTTTTGTAATTACTTTTACATTCGGAAAAAATACGAACATAGTCTTTTAACATCATCTTTTAACGAAGAGCGGATCTGAACAGTTCAGCATCAGATATCTTGTTTGCTGCTGCAACTTAAAAATTGAAGACCATACCTCTTCAACAAACAATGAATATTAGTGGGATTTTGCAACTAAACAATATATATTAGTGGGATTTTGTAGATAAACAATGTATATTAGTGGGATTTTTGTAACTTAACAATGAGTATTTATGGTATTTTTATAACTAAACTATGTATATTAATGGGGATTTTGTAACTAAACTATGTATATTAAATGGGATTTTGTAACATAGCAATGAGTATTAATGGGATTTTGTAACTTAACATTTTGTATTAATGGGATTTTGTAACTAAACAATGTATATTAATGGGATTTTGTAACTTAACAATGTGTATTAATGTGATTTTGTAACTAAACAATGTATATTAATGTGATTTTGTAACTAAACAATGCATATTAGTGGGATTTGTAACTAAACAATGTATATTAGTGGGGATTTTGTAACTAAAATGTATATTAATAGGATTTTGAAACTAAACAATAATATTAGAGGGATAGCTAATATTGATTTAGCCGGAAGTTATATTAATATGGATTATCAACATCAACAATTTATCTTCATTTTATTTTATTATATATACCACAATTTATAAATAAGTGCAAAATAATGATAACTGAACAAAATAGTTTTCCTTTTATAAACCAAAGAATAAATAAAATAAATTAAGTTGAGATGATAAAGTTTATTAAAAACACAATCATTGCTTAAATTTCTTAAGAATGCAAAATTATATAGAATAAAATATCAATCCGTATTTTGAACATACACCTAATGATACCTTTGTGTTGTAATAATTATTATATCAAACTTAAATATTCGTGAATCTGTAAGGATCCATATCTTATTGATTAAATGCCAGATTTGTAGTCTTATTTTTATTATAAAGATGTGAAAAACGAACACGAGCATTATGAATTTACATAAATTCTAGTTATCATTTTATTGAAAAATTTATTATATCAATCTTAATTTCTTGATCGAAAAAGTAAAATAGAATTGATTGATTTTCAGTATACTATGCATACGGATACCTAGAAATATTCATATACCGTATATAGGATACGTTGGCAAAATTTATCTCAAATAAATAAATAATTAAAAAAGAAAAAGAAACAGCCCCTTTTTTCCTGCATTGAAAACAATCTAGTTATTTCAATTTTCATAAAATGTATATTAGTATTAATAGTATTCTAATGAAGATAAAGTTAATTTTTGCAAATTTTATTATATATTATTTTTTTTGAATTAAATTAGATTTTTATTTTCTGTATTTTTTTATTTTATTTTTATTGTTATTACAATCCAAATTTATTTATTATAACAATGCGTAAGACAATTTTTTTGTCGTAAAAAAAACTTATATACAAAAATTATTTTTTAATCAATACATGTAAACAAACTTATACACATTAGATTGTTTTTATTTATTTAAAATAAATTAAATTATACAGGTGAAATTATTAATATTTTTAAAAAACATAAACATATTGATGAAAATATTTTTCATTCATAGCAATAAAGGGATATATACATTAAATTACATTTTAAACTTCATAAACGAAAAAAACTTAACACACAAAAAAATTTTATTAAAAAAAAATATATGCATAAAAAACTTTTTAAGTGAAATTAAAAAAAATAAAACCAAATAAAACTATTTTTCCTCAAATAATCAAAATCATCAAATAATAAAATTATTCATCATCAAAAATAAAGAGGCTTGTTTAAAAATCTCAACAAAATAACATAAAATGAAAAAAAGGAAATAAAATAAAATAACAAAACATAACATAAAAATTTATTTGATTAAACTAATTTTTCTGATTCGAAAATCAAAATCTTTCGAAAATCAGAATAGAAAATCTGAATCGAAAATCAGAATAGAAACCTTTCTTTCTATTCTATGCTATTGTAGACTGATTCGAAAATTCTTTTTCCTTATGGTATTGTAAACATAATGGAATGAAAGAAAAATCCAGTTGTAATTAAATAAAAAAAGTGTTCCATGAAATATTGAACAACTCTTAATAGAACATATCCTTAATGCCCCTCCCTCCCTGGAAAAGGAAGTAGGGCCACCCATGTTCAGCAAAGTCCCCAAATCAAAACAGTCAGAAATACCGCGTCTCTATTAAAGCTTTTCCTTCGCGGCTCTTCCAAATCATCACGGTATTTAAAAGTCGTCTCTGCTTGTTCCCTGTTGTTGTTCGTTCGAGCGCATGGCACCCCGCATGGGGGTGAAGGGGAAGTAAAAGGTAGAAACAGATGAGCAGCCCCTTTTCTAACATTCGCAAAAGGAAGGAGAGAGATAGAGATAAAAAAAGTTTTCTAGAAATGAAAGGGAGACCTGTAAATGGGGTGGAATGCGACGCACGCTTTTGGAACGTGCACCATTTTGTTCTACGCACGCCCGGGCGTATTTCCGGTTGGGGACCACCCCACTTCCGCCCCTGCTTTTCCTTTGAGACGAGGGAAGGTGATGTTTAATCAGTTACTCAAAGGAGTTGAAAAGGATGGGGTGTACAGAACAGTGGTAGTGTTTAATGGGCCTCCATTAACGAATGAATTCGAACTGCTCATTGATGAGACCACAAAAACCATTGTTAATGAAGTATGATAAAAGACAAGAAGCGGCAGAGAAGAAAAAGGACTCCAACCGGAAGGAGTTGAATTGGTGATAAAAAATAACGCGCAGAGTGATGATAAGTTAATGATGTTTGATGTCATAAACAATTTCACAGAAACTTTCATCCGCATTTGTTCCAGTGACTTAGTTTAATAGATTTGGAATGCGAACAATGCATCATTAGGTCATTAGGGAGATAAATATACTTATTAAGATTATCACTTAGTTAAAAAGTTTTGCCTTACATCCTCATGAAGAAAATTTAACATACAATGCTTATCAACATAAATCAGTTAATGAAAAGTTATCAAAAATAACAGCAGATTTCAGTGATTGTTTCTGTCAAATATAGCGTTATGAATTTGTTTTGCAAATAAAGAGCGATTCAAAGAGACCGACGATTTTTATATCTTTTAAATGGAAAAAGGTAAGATTAAAAAAAATATGTGGTTCATCAATTTCAGGTATTCATCAGCAAGTCTTATTAAAGAGATAGTTATAATTTATTATATTAGATTATGAAATAATTAATACTTATATTTGTTGCTTTTTTATTAATTAGTTAAATTAGGGGGTAGAACCAAGAAGACAGTTCAGTAAAACATAAATAAAATTTCGTTTTTTTTTTTTCCATTAAAAATCACTGTGGCCATTTTGTTTGTTTATTTCACGATTTGATGGCGCAAATGCTGCATAAGGGATACAGGGGTTTTATAAGATTCATATCTGAATAGGGACATTGTCTTGAATTAAATTCATTGCACAGCAAATTAAAAAGCAACACAAACAATGAAGGCCGAGCCACTGCGCTCGGTGCTACATGTTTCGGGTTCCTGGCAGTATCATGGATGTTTGTAGTGGTTCGGAATACACTTTAAAAGGTAGGTCCCAGTCTAATATGACTGTAGAGTGTTTTTTGCGTAGAGCTGGCAATCCTTTCCCGTAAAAAGAAAACATCTCCTCTCTCGAAATCTGCCTTTTAGGCAAACGGCTTTGGCCCACCATGGGCTGTTGCACCAATGATGGTGACGATGATTAGAGTTCATTAGAGTTATTCATTTTATATTGGATTTTTAAAAGAATAAAGTATGTTATTTATTAGTCAAAGTAAAGAAATACAATGAATTATTTATCTAAAATTAAATGAAAATCAAGTGTTACAAACTAAAAGTGTTAATATATATTCTTAATAATTACTTTTTATTTCTGCAAGAGGTTATAAAATGGAACGGAATGTCAGATGCATTCTTATAGTAATAAGGAAATCAAG